ACTGGGTCGTAAGCTGAGAAAATATAGTCGTATTTCTAAATTGTATTCCACAGACATTTTAACTAATGACATCTAGTCATTATCATGACTCCCTCACACTTCTGTTCAGTAACCCTCTATCTGCTTGAAAGAACACTGTAGTTTTAATCCTTCTAAACAACACAAGTCTATCTTTGGACTTACACCTAAAGATTGGAACTGGTCTACTTTCAATACCTGGGACATAGCTTAACCTTATTACAAAAATCCCATCCCCCCCCAAACCAACTTACGTACACTGGAAAAAAGATGTATTTTGTTAAGTTAAAACAAAAATGGTTTAGTCCCAAAGAAAGCAGCAGCTGTGCCCTGGACAGCAGGCTTAGAAGATGTTGAGGGAGAAAATACCCTTCTATTTGTGTTCTCCTGGGCTACATACAATCTGGTCTTGTCAGGCACTGGTGTACCATTGTAAAAAGGTAAATAAAATGGCACAAATGCAAATGCATGAAAGCAAGAAAAAAAAATTGGACCATTGGTAACCATTGAATGTTTCAGATATAGCAACTGCTATTTTAAGAGACAAACACTATCACAATGGCTGGGGTTTTATGCAAGATTAAGGGAAGAGTTCTATCAGCTGAACTTTACTACAGTTACCTTACTTTCAACATTGACATGCTTTTTCTAAGGGAAATCTGTCCTTTTCTGGTTTAAAAGATAAACTACTCCAAGTAACATAAAATAAGGAAGAATAAAAAAATTCTGCTCTTGAACACCATGGTCATCTACATAGGGATGTACACTAGTAATGAATATATTGTGGTAATGCACATTACCTAGATACAGAAAGATATATTAAGTATTGCACTTGCTGCAAGTTTAAGTGAGTATGTCTTCAGTATTGTAAAAATTTTAAGGTGTGCTGAGCACTGAAATGGGTTAGAAGCACAGGGGGTTTTAGGGTCAGTAAGAGAACTTTAATGCCACAATAGCTTTTATGTAATAGAGAATTTATTTTTTGATGTATTAACCACCAAATACAGGAAAGGGAAATAATTGACCATGTTAAGCTAAACCAATGTTTTTCACTACAACTTAGAATAACAATGTGAGACTGAACAGCTTGGTTTTTATACTGCTCACTTTATAGAGAGAGTTTCTATTTCATTTAGGATAAAATTGAGAAATAAGTGCCTGTAGTTCATTATTATTACAAAACAAAACCTATCCATAGAGCATATGGATAACTTATTTAAAATTACTTATATGTAAATAAACAATTTTTTACAAGAAGTTTATAGCCCAGTTCAAACAGACAGTATTATTAGCTTTCATAGAACAACATATGGGGTGATACTGTAAAGTTGAAGAAATAAAATCTTGCTAGTGCTGTGTAGAGGGCTGTCTAGTAATATGTCTTCAGGTACAGCTCTGGAAGGGAAAAGAACTGCTGTATAACAGATGTAGTTTGTGCTATAAAGACTGGAATGGAAGATGAGAAGAAAGAGATAAGGAGTCTGTTAAGGACAAAGCTTGAAACAAGTAGTAAAACTGAGATCTTCCATGATATATAGATGAAGTGCAATTACTCTGGGTATCCCTGAAAGCAAGAGGAATTTGAAGCTGAAAGTGACAACTGCTATCAAAAAGGCTTCAAATTGGAAACAACAATTGAGAGTGAGGGGAAAAAAAAAGAAAGCAGACTGATACCGCACCAGCTGAGATGGATGAGGCAAAAAATACAGATACAGAGAAATACTATACTGATGAATCTTAAGAAAGGAGCTTCTATAAGTACTGCAAACAGAACCAGAAAGGAATGAAAACATTTTCACATAGAAAAGGGAAGACTAGAGCAGCACTGGTAACTGCATGCAGGCTGAGCATATGAATGATGAGTGGGATCGCAGAACAGTGAATGGTAACAGAAAAGGAAGGACATGACAAATTTTGGGAAAAATGGAGGATTTTTTTCCAAGTTGAACTTGAGGTTTCTTGTGAGACAGCTAGTAGTCTGAAAGAAAGTACACTGTATCATACACTGTATCTGACTACGTCCAGAAGAGTAGCTGAAACACAAGCAATGGAGAAAGTTGCTCAGTGAGAATATAAAGAAGAAAACTGAGAGAATTCTAAACAAAAGTGTAGGAACTATCACTAAAAAAAAGCTAGTGGCTGAGGTACAGAAAATTCGAAAACCAGAGGAAAAGCTAAGGAAGGAGTGACATTTTTATTAAGGAAACAACAGTAGCTTAACTGAAAGGACATTTTTTTGAATAAATGTATCTAGGTCTCTAGGTAATAAGATACCAGGAAGTTTCCAGGGTATTAGCAATATCCGGAAAGAGAATGGAAGCTGTTGGTATGCTTATATTGGGTTTTATTTTCAAGAGCATATAAAAGCCACATTGATGACCTTTAAGTAGTTAGATTAGGAAAGCTGAGTTTTGAAGCAGCATGGTATGGAGAGGAAGTTACTTGCTTTGAAGAAAAAAAAAGTATGTAAAACTAACAAAATCTTTTGTGGTGGTCTCCTACTCTGGCAATGAAAGCATCAGAAAATCGATTGGGTCTTCATCTGTGCAGGCTGATTAAAGCATAACCCTATTGTCTGGAACAATATGGAAGGCAGCTAGAGGAAATAAAATCCACAGAAAACAAAACACAGTCAAAAAATATACATACGTATCAAGATATTGATGTCTTATGCAATAATTACAATGAAATATTAAAACACAGAGAAGAGTTTTAATCAGTGAAAACTAGTAAGATTTTGCTATTAAAGCATAGCATTCTGACAGATATTGCCTAAGAAATGTAGGGAAGCACTGAGGATGTTGTAGTCAGTCCTTACTCAATTGCTTTGACATATATTTCAATTCTGGCAGCATGTTTATTTGATTTGCTTTGCCAAGCATGGACGAATAGTGCCAGATTGTATTAAAATAGAAAATTCTTCGCTTTTTTCCAATTTTATTTTGATCAAACCAGTGTAAGCTCCTGTTGAGTAACATTTAGAGGGATTTAATACTCATATATGTACACACAGCAACGTTATTACCAATTTATATTAACTGTGTGCATTTATAACGTTAACTAAGTCTTTAGTAAAGGTTATTTTTGAGCTCTTGTTTTGCAGGCCAGGCTGTGGCAGAAGAACAGGACCCTGCAGCACAACATACATAATATTATGTAACTTTGAATGAAAATTTCTTACCTCCAGCAACTAGTCCAGACTCTCCTAACTGAATTGCTACCCCAAAGCCACCAAGCTTTACTGGGGCTGAATTCTCTTTTGAGGCAAGCAGAACACAGTGTGGCTGAAAAGACAAAAACGCAGACAAATTATTATATTATTTCCATTTTAGAATTTGTTTTCATAAATTTAAAAACAGAAGCTAGAATTTTTCAGGTTTTTTTGAAATAATTTCTTAGTTTCAGGTATTTTTTTTTTTTTCTGGCATGAACTTGGCTTCTCTGTCAACTGTCCCAGACCCAGCAAAATCCTTTCAGGACTTACCAGAACTCGCAAGGATCATAAACTGAAATAATAATAAAAAATTCACCCTTAAGCCTTACACTGTTTAAATTCTCCAGCAGAAGCATCCTGTCTATGCTACACTTTGTGGGATCTTATCCTTCACACAGAGAACATAAAACACTATTTTGAGCCTTAATCACAGAATTCACTGATCACTTTCCAACTGCAGAAAAGAAAAGAAACATCTCTGTGACATTTCTAATAAATACTCCAGTGAGGGGGGGAATTGTTTAGGTTTCTAAACTGGATTCCAAGCACAGCCATCCACACCTTTGATTTTCCATGGTCTTGCAACTAATAGGAGTGAAATATAACATATAAAAATGGAATACTATTACACAGTAATTTGGATGGATACTGACTAGTGTAGGAGGAAGCAACATACAGACAAAATCTATTAGAACACAATTTGGTATTTATACTGCATTTAGTATAGAACAACTGCATTTACTCAAAGCCCCCCTTTACAGTCAACCATAGGAAGAATGTCAAATTTGTATACTGCTTCTTGAAAATACATTAGTGCTTAAATTACGAAACTAGGAACTCAAAATCATGCAAAGCAGCTACAGCAAACTCAATCTGACTACCTGTAAAGTCATAATCTGTAACCACCTATGTCTCCCTTTAAAAAGTCTCAATTGTATGACAACAAGCATCTTCAAGTAAGAATGTATAGCCTCTTTACAATTCTAACTGAAATCTGCAGAATCCCATAAAAGCTTGATTCTTAAACAGATGATATATTAAGAAAGCTAACATGGAAATTCTAATTTCAAATGCTAAGGAGAATACTAAGCCAAGCTGATGTTCTTGAGATGATCATTACATTTAGGCTACCTTATACCAGGACTTCTAGAATCCATTCTTAATTTGCAATTTATGAACGTAATTTTCAATCCCTTGCATCCTATTTAAAATAGTATTACCAGGTGGTATTATCTCTGCATATTGTATTTCACTTCTGCCTTATTGAAATTGTTAAGATGCACACTTTGGGCGCTTTCACATTCTCTCATTGCTGTCATGTCGAGTGAAAAAGATCAACCTCAAATTTCTAATCCTAGGCAAGGAAGAAGGTAGATGGCAGAGCTAAACCAACATAACTAAACATACCCTTTCACTGTGGTGTTGATTTCTCTTTACCCTACATTTGAAAGAGTGATACTAATTCCATGACAGTATTAAAAAGAAGACAGGCTGTACCAATGTGTCATCCAAAAAGGAAGCCACTGACACTGCTCCAGAAACAAAGTTTCTGAGAAAAAAATCCAAATCTCCAATTCAGTGCAAAGCTTAGAGAAAACCTCATTATAGAGCATCTCCAAGAAATGCCCAAATTATCAGCAAAATTGATCTTTGCAGTACACAGTTTTGCTAGTTAAAAATATCTTTCAGAAAAACAGTTGCAACATTAGTTAAACTTCCTCTTGTTACTAATTGTACTGTGTCAGCTGATTCTCATCACTTTCATAGAGAAGCTGGTGCTTTAGCTTTCTAGCAAGAGGACTTGCATGTTACTCCTCCCTGTCTTCACCAGCGGCTTTTGAAAATCAGCAGAAGCTCCTGACATATAAATGGTAAGTGGCTTCTTTTATATTTAAGCTATAATAAACCAAATTTTATTACAATTTCTCTTAACTGCAAAGGTACTACTGACCTTCAAACCCTTTCTTAATTAAATATGCCTGTGTTTAAGCACGCTGCTTGCTTACAGATGACAATGCTTATGATAGCTAAAAGTTATGTTTCTAATGTATCTGCAGTGTAATGAATTTTTCTCTCTCATTGACCTAAAACTTGTTACTACTTATGCAAGTCATGATGTCAAGTATTTTTATAGAAAAGCAACATAAACAAGAAATTATAGTAGTAGATAGGTTTCAAGCTATATTAGAAAGCATCATAGCATCATTTTTTTTGAAACAAACCTTTAAAATTTCTTCTTGCCCTGACAATATGAATGCAAAATATGAAACCAGAAATATTTTTAAAACCGCTAACTTAAAATAGAAATTAAATGCAATTTTAAGATCCAACATGCAGGATGTTAAAATATTTTAGATTGTCCTATCAACAATTCAGATTCTGTATGTACATTAGGCCTTATTAAGAATTTTACCTAAAATGCTGCCATTTTCACTGCTGTAGCTATATTACACATTTAAATGTACGTTTGCATTTTTAACACCCAGCACGCAACTTTTGTCATTGTTTTTTTCTTGTGAATGTTGTTAGCACTACGTTCTGAGTACCAAAACCAATGTTTTCCCATTTAAAAAAAATAAAATCTAAATAAACTTATTTATGGAAACTTTTATCGCTATGGCATACAAAACAAATCAAGGAGAAAAGTTGTATCATTACTAATCAGTCTTAAGCATCTCTCTAAACAGCTCATTGTGATTCTACTCTCCTAACCACACACTTTTTTTCCTTTTTCTTCTTTGGCCAAAGCTCTTTTATCTTACAGATTGTACCTTCCTGGTCAAAAATAAGGCTAGCAGAATTAAACACTTTGACATAAAAACAAGAAAAACAACAAGAACAAGGAAGATGTGAAAAAAATCTGTTATTGCATTAATGTAGTTCCCAGCTAATAATAGTTTCTTTGCATAATATTGATTTTTGAACAGTTGAGGAAAAAATACTTACATTTACATGCCAATATAAAATATTAAAAACAAGCTACTGTAATAGTACTGACTCGTAACAGATAACATAGCCAAATAAATATGAATTGACAATTGCTTTTCTAATTGAGAACTTGTGACTTGTGTGCAAGAGATCCTGGTTATTTATTTAAAAGTAATACTGATGAGTTTAGAATTGTTTTGATATATTTCTATGTATTTTGTATCAGCACCAAGAATACTTAACTTAGCTATGCCTACCCTCTTTTGCAACTTAATTAAAAGGTTTTCTGTCAGAAAGTCTAATCCTAACATCAGAACTTACAAAAAAGTATTTGTACTTCTAAAGCAAAAAAATTAAATTTCTAAGATTTGCAGCAAAACCTAATAGTTGATTTTTAAAACAATACAAGGCATTAATAAATATGTAATTATAAAAATAGTTATCTGCATGAGTGCATCTGTTCTCGCCTACTTCACGTGAAGAAAAACAGGGAACCAATGAGTCTAGACTTACATTGTATCATGGCATCCGGCCAAAAGTCCTTCTTCTAGTCAGCTACACCAATACTTTGGTGCATTTACGTTTTTTTGTTACTGCCTCTTAAGTTTATTTCACATAAGACTGTATGCAATAAAGCAAAAACATGAAAGAATGATCCCATGGCAATCTAACTCTTAAAATTTCTTTTTGCATCCCTACAGAACAGCTAAAAAATCCTCACAAATGATGGCTGCAGCTTCAGCTGATGTCCAGACCAATCTGCCATACACAGAAGCCTTCTGGAGTAACCAAACTAGCTCAGCCATAAATGCCTCGGAAACTCAAAACAACGTCAGTTGCTCAGATGACAAGTCACTGTCACTTGCTTTAATAGTTTTTTACTCCATTATCTTTGTCATTGGATTGGTTGGAAATATTATAGCCCTGTTTACTTTCCTGTGCATTCATCAGAAAAGGAATTCTATCCAAGTTTACTTGCTAAATGTCGCCATTGCAGACCTTCTTCTGATCTTCTGTCTTCCCTTCCGAATATTCTACCATGTTACAGGACACTGGAAGTTTGGACCCATTTTCTGCAAGATTGTAGGAACTCTATTTTATATGAACATGTATATTAGTATAGTACTGTTGGGACTAATTAGTCTAGATCGTTATATAAAAATAACTAAGTCTGTGAAGCGTCCTAAAATGTTAACTACTACACGAAGTATACATATTTGTTTCATAGTGTGGGCAATTGCGCTAACAGGATTGATAGTAGTAGTTGCACCATCTTTCTTTAAGAGTCAGAACAGCAATTCTACTAGGTGCTTTCATTACCGAACTAAACAGAATGCAAAGACAGAAGCAATTTTAAATTATATTATTGTAGTAATTTTTTGGATAGTTTTTTTTCTTTTGATACTTTCATATATTAAAATTGCCAAGAACCTTCTGAAAATTTCAAAGAAAAGAGCAAATTTTCCCAATGCAGGAAAATACACCCAGACAGCAAGGAATTCCTTCATTGTACTCATTATTTTCACCACCTGTTTCGTTCCTTACCATGTGTTCCGGTTTGCCTACATTACATCACAGTTACAAAATCCATCTTGTTATTGGGAGAAAATCATTCACAAATGCAACGAGGTGATGCTCATATTTTCATCATTTAACAGCTGTTTAGACCCAGTTATGTATTTCCTAATGTCCAGAAGTGTCCGTAAGACTGTATTCCAACTTATTTGCAGAAAACTCCATGGAGATTCAGGCCTAGCTACGGAAAGCACTTCAGAAATAAAACTTGGACAATATACACAAGAGCGATTATCTACTACTACTGCCCACTCAAGTTCTGTGAAGAAGAAGTCTCTGATTTGATTGTTTAAATGAATGGACACTGGCTTCTTTTGTCATTCCAGGATATCAATTTAAGATGTACCAAACGCAATACTGTACAGCTACTAATCCTGCCTCTTTCTGCCTGTTAAAAAATGAGAAGTCTCACTTCCGTTTCTGAAAATGAGAAGTAACTTTTCAGAAGTATTTCACTCTCGTTTATCCAAGAAAACAAAATAGGAAGTTCCAGACATCATCTGCTGAACTAAACTAGAACACTAACTCTTTAAGGAAATTTCCACAAGGTGGTTTGAACCTGTATAAGGAATCTTGTATATAGACGTTAATATTAGCAACTTGTGTATATAAATAATAGATGGATTTTGCAAAATGTAAATTGTGTCCTATTCAAAAGAGCTATTAAAACCATTACAGATTTTATGTATTTTTCTCTTTCAACATGTTTCAAAGATATCAGCATTTTAACTACATTTATAGAAGTATTTTTTCCAAGAAAATATTTGAGATTTTAGCAACAAGGGGGTTAAAAATGAGGTGAAAAATACAACTGCCACTAATTCAGTTACAATTACAGAAGATACACTTTGTTTTATTAAACAACAAAATGATACTATTAAAGCCTCCTAAACCCCTTAATATATTTTCAACCTTTTAATGAATGCCAAGGTCGAACACCTGAGAAAAACTAAGCAATGGCTTTGGAAAATTAGAAATTAAAGGAAATGACATATGGATACTTGCAGTTACCTAAGATTGCCTTGAAACTCTGACAAATTTGGTGACCGCAGCTGCAGCAAGTAGTTCAACAAGGAAAATAAACTCACAGATCTAAATACACAGTGCAGAATAGAAAAATTAGTTTTCATGAACACCTAATTTATCAGCTCTGATCTTTGCTCAGGCTCAGTCACTGGTCTACTTACAGATTTCCAAAGTCACACATTTCAGCTGCACGCTTCCTCCCAGTCACAGACCTTCTCTTTTCATGTGACTAAAATAATCTTGATAATTGCTGATGCTATGTAAATAGCAATGTAACAGCAATGTCCCATAGATAAAACTATATTCTCAGATGAAAAACCAAACAGTTTTATGTATTTAGGCACAAACAAAAATTTCAAACCGTAATGTTGTTTAAAAAAAGGGGGGCTGAAGGTGGGGGTTGTTAGACTCAAATATGAGTAAGGATGCAGTTATGCCAAGAACAACTTAAATGTCTGGCATGACTGGCCAGAAAGGTGAACGAAGTAGACTCAAGCTGTTGAGCTCCATAATACTGCTCAAGTAAGCTGCCATAAAGATGTTGGGTTTAATACATCTACCAATAAATTTTTGGATGGATCATGTGAATTTTATGCCAAATTTGTATCAATCTGTGGATTTTTACTAATTCTGTACAATAGTCTGGTTTTCTAGAAGCTGCTTATAAAATTCCTATTGAGCAAAGCAAACATAACACTTCACCTCTGCTAGATACAAACTTCATTTAATTTTTATATGATTTTACTTCAGTTTTGGGGAAACTCGGTGTAAATATGTTAAACAAATTACAGTGACTAGTCAGTATATTTATTTTTTTATTATTTTTATCAAAAAAGGATGGGGTTCCTTAATATTCAAGAGAGAGATTCCTACAAACGTAGTTTTCATAAAAGTATGATGGTAACTCCATTTTTTCCTTAAACATTTCAGCATTCAAGTAAGATATTTTTCATAATAATTTCTGATTGATTCTTACAATAACTGCATTATATTTTTTCATGATCTTTTACTTATCATCTTGTCATCCTATTATATGTACACTGAAGCAAGAACTATCTTGGCTCTGTATTTGTATAAGGCAAGGAATAGCATACTGCTTGTCCTCTGCAATTCTCCTATGCATTATAGTAGTTCTACATAGTTACATCAGCTCTGGAAAATCTAGGAGTTTATAAACCATCATTCCACAAGATATATACACTATCTCATCATTCTTTCTTTGCCTATATTTATTCTACCGTGAGCAGTTGCTTGACGATACTGATCACCAGCCAGGGGAGTGGGAGGGAGCATGGGGATGGACGGGAAACACGGGACAGGACAGACATAAACAGCATGGTAAGGCTTGAAAAAATTTTGGATTCTAAAATTCTTTTGAAGAAAGTGTTTCATTTAAACCAGAATTCTCATTTACAAGGATTCACGGATACTGCACGATTGCAAAAATAGACTCAGATCTCTTCAGCAGATCAAGTGATAGTACCGGGCTTCAACGCTACAAATGAAGTTGACTTTTAAAGCCAAAGGCAAAAATAGAAATGTGTTCCACGTGACAAAAACCAGAGCACCTTAGCATTCTGGGCATACTTGTAGTAAATTATGTAATGTTTACGTGGTTTCTGTAACGCTATTCTGTAAGCAACTAAATATATAAAAGAACAACAGGAAAACAGTCTTGCAGAACAAGTTCAAGATTCTGGTCTTCATGTGAATAGTATTACATGGGCTTTTTTGGCTTTAATAATTTTAACAGTGAAATCTAGTCAGTACTTCCTTCAAGAGGAATGCCTTAAACACCCATACCTATTTGCATTCATCAGATGTGTTATATGTGACAGCCATTCTTTACAGACTGCAGAGGAGTACCAAGGAAGCCATGCACAATATCAACAGACAGGGTTACAGAAAAAAACATTTTGGAAGAAATATCGAAGATTAACACTTTCCCAAGACTACATGCTACACATTAAAATGTTTCAAAAGCATCTCAATACCGGATAATCTATTGCTTAAACCAGCCTCTGTACACAAGCAGCAAATATGGCCTAAATCTTTTAAAAAGATTTCAGGAGCTACAGTCTAATGTTCGTATTAGGCAAATCCACAGCACCTATAAAGACAAAATTAGGCAAGCTTGGGTGCATAAGGTACCATAGGCAAAAGTGAATAGATTTGTTTGAGGAAAGCCATGTACCAGAATATTAATAACAAAGGAGTTCTCCGGAAGAGCTGTGAGGCATTGGGATAAAGGTGATAACAGTGTGCTTTGACTTCAGCAAGGTCACTTACTGCTCCAAGAAATGCTCTAAGAAACCCTAGAATGTTAGTTGTTAATTCTTGCTTTTGAATTGGTTAAAAATCAGAAAGAAAGCTTAAAAATACAGTCTTTTTTCTTCATTATATTCCCCAAGAATCTGCAAGCAGATACATTTACGAACATGTTTAACAATCCAGAATGAGCGAGAGTAAGAAGATGACAAAATTTTCAAACAACACACAATTATTCAGAGTAGTCAAACCTAAAAAACCCTGAGAAGTCATCATTGTTTTATTGTATAATTTGGATGACATAGATTCTATACAGATTACATTAAATAAATCAACTCTTCAGCTCTGAAATGAGTATCTGAAATGAAGCCCAAGTCTGTAACAGCAGGTATGGCACAGAAGAGGGGAACAGGTAGGACTACATGACCTTTGTAGGAATGTATATCTGAAAGCAAGCCCAAGTCTGTAACAGCAGACAGGTATGACTATATGACAGGGAACAGGTATGACTATATGACCTTTGTAGGAATGTGACATTAAGAGAGTATCTGAAATGAAGCCCAAGTCTGTAACAGCAGGTATGGCACAGAAGAGGGGAACAGGTAGGACTACATGACCTTTGTAGGAATGTGACATTAAGAGAGTAGCAGTTAGATCAAAAAAATAACGCCAAAAAGCAACCAGACAAGTGAAAATATTAAGGATCTCCACAACTATGTAAATCAGCGTTTCAAGATGTTATATGCCAGATGTATCAACTGGCTCAGAAAAGGATCTGAAACTAGACAGCACTGTCATGTAGGAAACAATTACTACTGACCAAAAACCGAAAGCAGGTATCTCTACTATTTTAAAAAAATATTTAGTCCTTACATACTTTTTTCTGCAATCAACTTTCCTAAACTTGATTGCAAAATGCCAGGCTCTGCAAACCAGTATTACTGAAGAGCAAACAATCCTGAAGCATCTTGGGAGGTCTGCTGAAAGCTACACTGTGACATGTCAAATGATCATATAATTAGCCACTTTAATAGTGTCTTTTACTTCTCATCTTAGCCTTGCTTCCAAAGGGCCAACTATAGCAACTAGTTTAGTCTTCAGCTGAATTTCAAGATGAAAATAATTATATTTATTGTTCTTTCTGTAAGTAGAGGCTAACTCAATGCACACCTCCACATAACCTGCATGAAACTCATTTTCCTTCTTTATTAAAATCTACAACAAATCCTCAAATTTCAGGTGGTATACCAGTATGCCATCTCTTTTTTACTATGTATAAAGAAGCACACATTCTTCATTAGAATAAATACTAGTTACAAAATGCATGCTGGCTAGTTACTTCTATACCTTTTAGAATCCACAAATACATGAAGATCTACACAAGTCATACATATGTTTCTTAAAATGAACAGAAAACATAAGCCAAGAAACAAAACTGTTTGCCAGCTTTTTATAACTTGAATTACAAACATATCAAAGTGTACTTAGTTTGAGTATGCAGCTGTACTGGGATAGAGTTAAATGCCTTCACAGTAGCTCGTATGGGACTGTGTTCAGGGCTTGTCATGAAAGCAGTGTTGATAACAGAGAGATGTTTTAGTTATCACAAAACAGTCCTTGCATGGCATCAAGGCCTTTTCTGATCCTCACACCGCCCCACCAGGGAGTAGGCTGGGGGTGCACAAGCTGCACAACTGACCAAAGGGATAAGCCACACCACAGGACCTTGTGCTCAGCAATAAAAGCCAGGAAGGAATTCTGCCATGGCTGCCCTTTCTCAGGAACTAGCAGGGCATCAGTCAGCTGGTGGTGAGCAACTGTTTGGTTCTTTCGCATCACTTGTTTTTCTTGGGTTTGTTTTTCTTGGGTTTGTTTTTCTTTTCTTTTTCTTCATGAAACCCTCTTTATCTCAAACCATGAGTTTTCTCACTTTAACCCTACCCTACCAGTTCTCCCCCCACAGCCCACTGAAGGGGAAGTAAGCGAGTGGCTGTGTGGGGCTTAGCTGCCTACTGGGATTAAACCACACTACCACTTTTTGACACCCAACATGGGGCTCAAAGGGTTCGAGATAACGAGAGATGTGACCAGAGCACGTTAGAGGGAGCAGCAGAAGCAGCAGCCTGTTCTGCAGCAGAGCAGCCACAAGAACAGGAGGGAACCCTACCCTACCAGTTCTCCCCCCACAGCCCACTGAAGGGGAAGTAAGCGAGTGGCTGTGTGGGGCTTAGCTGCCTACTGGGATTAAACCACACTACCACTTTTTGACACCCAACATGGGGCTCAAAGGGTTCGAGATAACGAGAGATGTGACCAGAGCACGTTAGAGGGAGCAGCAGAAGCAGCAGCCTGTTCTGCAGCAGAGCAGCCACAAGAACAGGAGGGGGAAG